TTCAACAAAATTTGTTGAAAATTGGCATTTTTTAATTTTATTTATATATTGACACAATACAAAACAGATAAGCAATTTTCTAAATTTTTGTAAATCCATTTCATTTTATTATTTTGCATATTAACTTAATCAGAATTAAGATTTATTTACACAACTAATTTAAATTGAATTTAGTTTTTGGATCACTGTTCTTAAAGATTTTAGTTCATTATGTGTCCAACACTTGAATATTATAATGGTTATATTTTTATTATTTATTGTATATTAATATTGTTTACTCATTACTTCGATTATTAGTTTTGCATAATTCATTGATAATTCATTTTATATTTATCTTTCTTATTTACACAGTCAGTCAGGCACACCCAAATCTCACTATTCTCCCGAAAGTTTTATAGTTTTGTTTGTAGCAAAACTTTTTTGTTGCAAAGTAGAACCATTCGCAATGAACACTTTTGAATACCTGTCACAACCGTCAGTCGCACACACACACAAACACACGCACACTCACGCACAGACACAAACACAGACACAAATACACAGCCAAAAATGGAGAACTATCGCGCGACTCGCTTCGCAATTGATCAAATTTGGCTTGCTTCGGGTGCAACAGGACTAGACCTCGTCCTTCCCAATTGCTTTCGTTCGCGTCGGCACAGGAATAACGACTGAGGCAAATCGAGCTTGGCCCATAGCGTTGGTCACGATGTGGCCAGAACTCACCACAGCCCTCTGCTCTGTGGTGGGCTGCAAACAGCTGCTTACCGAAATGGCGCCAAAAGCCGGCAAGGCATTTGTTTATATTTCAGGCTTGATGGAGAGAGCGTGTTGGTGTGAGTTAGAAAGAACGCGTCGAAAGCTCATCAGTTAAGAGAGCCAGTTAACAGCGTAAGAGAAATGCTGCTGTTAGGCGAAAGCTTTACATAAAATATTCTAATTGTTGTTGCCAACTGAAATTCAAATTGGATGCAAAACTTTGTCTTCGACATGCAACTGCAGTAAGTCAAGAGCTTAAGTAATAATTCAACCACTATGAAAACGCTTAAGTGCATAAGGTTAAAAGTTGTTTTCTTTTTCTTTTTCTTTGGCGATTTACATTACAGTAAGAAATAATAAGTTTCAGACTGGCCAAATGTCCTTTAGGTAGCTCTAATCAGAAACGATTTAAGCAGGTAATATTCATGGGGAGGAATAGATTGAGAACACTTACTGTAGCCTAAGATATCATCTAGGTACAATCAATAGCAGAATTAAACAATTTTGTGAGAATGAGATGGAATCCTCAAATCACATCAAAGCAGAGTGTATCGTCTAAGCGAGAATAAAATATAGTATTCTCGGGAAATATGTTTAAGACTGACAGGATATAAAAACCCTCAACCCGACAATTAGGTTAAGAGAGCCCCCAATAATAATAATAAATTATTGTAATTATCTTGTCTTGTGAATACCACTTTTCAATATATTTTCAATTTGACTTCTCTATTTATTTTATTTATATTTATATTTATTTTAAAGTGACGTAATACTAGCTATCACTTATTAATTAATGTATAACTATAACATGGAAAATTATCGATATTAATATAAATTATTTTATTTATAAACAAACTGATAGACAAGGATAATTAAAGCCAATTAATATTTAATAATCAAATTAATAATTCAACATTGGAAAATTAACATCATTTTGAGACTTGTTCGTCAATAATTGAAGTTTTCATGATATTTGCTTCAAATAAGTAAAATCTATAAATATAATCAACGAATCTGTGGAATGCATTTTGAATTTGTATGCTGTATCCTTAATAGTCACAGACAAGGCAAACAAAGAGGAAGAAGTGTTACTCAGCTGAAAGCAATAATTTATATATGTTGCAAGGGGAGCAGCTCCTCCTAGCCAAACAGCTTTATTATGTGTTTATTTATTTATTTACATTTTTAACATTCCCGTGAACAGATTATATAAAGATGGCCCCATTCAATATAATTTGAATTTGCGGTAAAAGACAGACGAGCCAACTACATATAGATATATAGAAGTGCATACCTGTTGTCGGCATAATATATGTGTGTATATTAAGCAACCGGAGCTGAATGTGGCCCAAACAATTTAACCTTTGGCGCGGCTTGACAATGCCATCAATCATTTGGCTCTGGCAGCCATCATTTCATTTTGTAGGCAATCTCGCAGGCGCTTATCCTTTAACCTGAACCCAGCCGCAAACTACGAGCTCATTCAATTACCCAACCGGCAGCAGAGTTTTTGGATATGGGACTCCGGTTGGGCTTGCCCTTTGTTTGTATTGTTTCAGATAAAACCCATCTAAGTTATGCCAAAACGCTCTCGAGCCACTCTCAAGGCGAGAATCATGAAATATTTATGCGGATTGTGTGTACTGTGTGTGGACGTCGAACGAAACCCGAAAACCGACTGATTAAAATGCAGCAGTGCCGACAGCTGGCCCACAACTAACTTATTTGGTTTTGGATCTAGATTCGGGGCTGGGGCCCATTTTGCTGGCCACACCCAGCTCATTTGTTAAACGGGCCCACATCATATTCCACTGCTCCGATAATCAATCATAATGAAAGGAAGACAAACCATCCAGCCCCATACGTGATTGTGGGCGTGTGTGTGTGTTTGTTAATTTTATAAACTACTTTACAATAATTTAATTCAGGTTAAACAAACTTTGCCAACTAATTAACGCACACACGTCCCATGTAAATTTTATACAAGGGTTAATTGACTTGGCCATTAGTTGGAAAGGTAGCTTTAAAGCTAAAAAATAATAATTGAAAAGTGTTGTATATCCAGTCTGCCTCCCTCCTCCCCATCTAAGGGTCATAAATGATAAAGTTTTCCCATCTCCGTCTTACGGGAATTCGAGCTCAACTTTCGCGATGGTCCATATTTTATTGGGTTTTATTGTTGGCTGGTTTCGATGTGGGTCCATTCAATCGATTTGTTGCAGACAAGTTGCTGTACAAACTTGTTGATGACGGTTTACATTAGTTTTTGTTAAATCTACTGGGATATACGAACATCGGTCTATACATTAAAGCAATTCATTCAGTAAATAAATCAATACACGCATCGAATTACAGTTTCAAGCTGAAAATTAATTACTACAAAATTATTTTCTCGACATTCAAAAAAGGTTATCATCGCAATTAACGCCGCCCAGTGTCCGCTTTCAGACCTGTCCTCTTAGAAGTTCCATCTCAAAGACTTTGAAGATCATTAAAATTTAAGCATGTGACATTAGCGTTATCTAAGTTTTACAAGGTTACTTTACTTTACTTTAATATACTTTACCAATTTTGTTTTGTAATATTTTTGTTTTTAAAAACTTGAAACTATTGGATATAAAAGAAAATAATCATCAATATTACGCATGTCTAAGAGGCTCTAATAACGCTGCATTTCTGGTTAATAATTATTAGATCCTTATTCTTTGTACAATGTACAAACTAAAATGTTCTAAAGATCCTTAATCTGTCTGAGAATTCGCAAGTGTTTGAATATCTTCATTTTTTGTAGTACTTGCTTTTCGCTTCGTATTCTTCCTGGCTCCAGTCACCGATTGACAATCATTGGCATTAGATTATTGTTCTTGGTGATCCAGTTCTATACCAATAAAACTTTACTTTAAATGGGCAAAATAGGCTTTCTTTATTTAACTGCAGTAAGCCCGAATGGTTTTGCTTTTGACATACATTTCAAAGAAAAAGCAGGAGAAAAATAACAACGAACAAGGGCTTCCAAAACCTCTTTAAGTGATGATTTAAGGACATTTTCTGGTGTATTTATCGATTGCACTTAACACAGTCACACTGATGCTCTAAGAGAAAAAAAAGTTGTACCGATTTCAAAGATATTATTTTATCCGAATGAACTATGAAAAAATAAAATAAAAAGCATTTATTTAATTTATAACACGCCTTCATCAAAATGTTTATATTTGACAAGGGGCAAAGCAAGTCGTTCGATTTAGGTTGTCAAGCAATTTGTATTTATTTGTACATATTTTGCAAACACTCACAAAACCTGCCAAATAATTATTTAAAAAACATTTTCAAACCAATTAAATCGTTAGGTTATTTCAGAAGTAGGCTGCGCGATTAAATGTCAATTTGTCAATTGAGCAGGACTTCTCAGACTTATTTTTCGAAAATATTCATTCTCTTTTTTCGAGCAGTTCTACCCAAAATTATCAAATTTCGGTTTTTCTCTCAAATATAAGTGCGTACTTATAATATTCCTAAGATGCAGCGACTAATAACATTTGTTGTTGGTGGTATTGTAGGCTATCTAATTGGACAGCATCGCGTAAGTCCAAGCAATTAAATACAAATAATATTCTAGGGTAATATGCATATCTTGTAATATTTTTGCAGTTTTAAATGGATTTGCACATGGTGCTTCCCGAGTAATTCAATGAATCAGTATATTCTGGGAAGTTCTTTTTCATCGGGCAAGCAAACACCACACAAATTATAAATAAATATAAATATTGAAAGGGAAATATTTATAATGGAGCATCTCATCCTATTTTGTCTCGGCGTATTTTTTGGCATGAAGTTGTGTGACAGGGATCAGTAAGCAATACTTATTAAAATTTGAATGGGCCCATACCAACTATATACCAACTATTCACAAAAAATCAAAAATACTACTGCGCCTTGCTGAAATAAAATGAGATAAACGGATAAACATTAAACTGTTGATTTTATTTTACTTTAATGTAAAGTAATGGTGCTCAAATTAACGCGAAAGTTTTCTGCTTCCCTTTTAAATAAAAATAAATAAAACATTGACTTACGCCCAATTTAATTACCGCCGAGAAAATTAAATTCTGCATTCCAGCAGTAGTTTCAATTGTTGTAAATTCAGAGACAAATTACATTTATTATTATCCCAATGAGCTTAACAATATGTTGCACGCACAAAAACAGAAAGAGTTGTTTTGCTGACACACATGGAAAATTTGAGGTGTGATGACAAATTATTTATTTAACATATCTTTATAAGATATTTGAGTATGGCAAAATAATTCTACAACATTATAAAATATATATTCGAATTTATTGCTCTGCGGTCTGCATGTATGGCGTCAGTAGGAAATGCTTCATTGACAACTGAGATAAATTCCGGAGAATTGGTCATGAAGGTCCGACTCTTAATAGGTAAAGAAGCATTTTTCGATTAATTTTGGTATAGCAGATAATTTTGCAATGACTTTGTGATCAGAATCATACCACGTTTGTTCTGAAGGATAGATGAAATTAAAGAGCATTAAATTGATTTTAAAGTATGTTCCTTTAATTAAGCTTTGCTTGACATCTTAAATTTTCACTTACAAGGTCCGCAACGCCTTTTGCACAATAACAAGCCCGTTACTATGCCCAGTGCAAATGATATTACGTGAGTCATGGCTGAATTTTCGGGATTATTCGCTTTGGATAGTATTAACAGCTCAAAGCCAAACTTTCCAATACCTTTAATAATGATGAAAAATACGAGTTGAAAGTGTAATGGCTTTATAAGAATAGTTACTGTATCATCCGGTTTATATAGATTATGCTTAGATTGCCGCTAATAGTTCCTTCCAATTACAAAACCAGCAGCAAAACCCAAAATCAAGATAATCAGCCAATCCAATTCCATTTTATGCCAATAGAAAATAGAAAATCCAAAAAAAAATATATTTCTTCAATAGTTTATAGCTTAAACAAGCTGACAGATTATATATGGCTTGCTGCTTACAGGTTCGAAGGCATTTAAATCAGGGATTCGAACCGACTGTGATCAAAACATTTAAAGGAAAAAAGTTTATTGAGTAGAGAAAATCTCGTCACCTCTAAAAAATACCTCTGATCTGGCCATGAAAGATATATACAAGCTCAGCAGAAGCTGTCACTGGACTCTGGCTGAAGGTATCGATTCATCACTTCCTCCCGCCACTCTCCGGAGAAGATAGACATTTCTGAGGTCTTCCTTCTGCTTGGATGTTGTATAATAACGTGGCAAAATGAAGAGTCAAACGCAGTTTCTAATTATGGATTATTTTTATGAGCGAGTGCGTCTTTTCTTGTTGAAGAATTGAGCGCAACTTAACTTAGGAGAATGCAATGCAGAAAGAGAACCCAATTCAAGTGTGACCAGAGCGTCGATATTAATCGGTATATCGATACTTAAGTATAAATCGTTGCTGTGATATTCAAAAATATTTCAAAATTGGACATTTAGGAAGTTTATAATATCTGTAAGCTTGTTATTCACAGAGGCAGTGGAAATAGTCCAAGTGGCTAAATCAGTTTTCTGCCCCCTGCCGATAGCCGCCACAATCTTTACTTATGGCTTTAAGAAGTAAAACTGTGAATGTTAAAGGTAGTTGAGATATATACTTCACTAGCCAGTAAGGCCAATTCAATTGGCTTGGACTAAAAGACTTGTCTAAATGTGAGTGATTTGTGTAGTGTTAATCAAAGATATTTATGATATGACACTATTGGTTATTGAAGAAGAATGGTTCCATTGGCTTGCCCAAATAAATATATAAATAATTTAATTTGACTGGTGGTTCAATATTAATTTAGTTCAGTTAGTTCAACACTTATTTAGTATATATTTTAGATGCACAATAATTTTTTGTTTATTTTTGTTTTTCGGTTCACTGACTTGCTTACTGTGATAGATAGATATGAAGATATGTAAATAACATGTGCTTTCTGTGTACATATATATATATACACATATATATTTATGTATTCATATATTATGTCAGTTGGCTTTATCGTATGATGCTGCTGATGCTCAAGTGCTGGCCAACTTCGATGCAAAAAGGAAAATAACTTGACGAGCGACTTATGTCAGCTTCATTTTACGAATTTACTTTCTGGCAGTCACACGCTCAAAATTTCAAAATAGTGTACAAAATTGTGTTCAGTTTATTTTTTTATTTTTCATTATTATCATCGCTTAGAACTATTTTAGAATGTGCAATAATAACTCTGGATCATCTGGCCAAGGCCAGTGTGGCTGCCCAAATCCCTCGTGTAGACCACCTCCGTCACCGCGACCGACATGCCGTCCACAGCCGACGCTCTTCCAGAAGCTCAACTGTACTTCCTGTAATCGACTTTTCTTTTTTATCGTTGGCGCGGGCGTTGGTCTCTACTGGAACAAGTTGAAGGAGGCCGCGAAGAAGGCACAAGAAGAGGCCAATAAGGATCCCAAGCAAAGAGAAAAGGAGCGAAAGGAGAGGGAGAAGAAAGAGAAGGAAGCGCAAGATAAGCGCGAAAAGGAACGCAAAGAACAAGAAAAGAAAGATCAGAAAGCGGAAAAGGAGAGAAAGGAGAAGCAGAAGAGGGATTAGTCACATCTAAGAAGAGCGAATCTGCAGAATCCCAAAGAGAAATTTCAATGCACTTTTTTTTTTCTCAATCCGAATAAATAAAATTGACTAAAACCATTAAATGAGCGCTAAATGCTGGATTTTATTCTAATAGTAAATCGAATGCCAATATTCATATTTGTCTGTATCTGTGTTCGTACTTTGGACTGCCCGTTCCGAATCCTCTTCAGCATCCTATAGATGTTCTGTTCTAGTATTCAATTGAGACATGTCCTTAAACAAGGAGTTATTTATCCATACCAGGGATATGCCGGGCTGCTTGATATTTTCTTGTTCAGCTAAGGCGAAACAAGATTATTTAAAAAACGCATAAATTCTCGAGTTGCTGATATGCTTACCGTTTCTCACTTCATGCTGAGATCTGCTTTTACTTCTTTTTGTCCTTTCCCTTGTCGTCCTTGGACTCCTTCTCCTTGGGGAACGTTTTGCCATACCAAAGCCCGACCAGTATTCCGGCGAATGTAGCAGAAATTCGCTCGCACAACATATGCATTATGAAATATTATCTTTTGATTTACTATTACAGAAATATGTCCAATTTACCCTAATAATTTTGTATAAATTTCCTAGACTTTAATATTTTACCGATATGTTTAGATGGAAAGAGTAAACTGAATTTATCAGAGCACAATTTTTCAGGGGCTGAAATATGGAATCCACAAAACAAGGGCCTACTTGGGAAATTCAAAACTTGTTTTAATTTTATTTAATACTTTTGCAATTCATTAACAACCAAAACATTCTTTAGTCGAGTATCAGCTGAATTTGTTTAAAGAACAAAACCGTTTGCTTAAGCCTTAAGTCCCAAATTACATCGTCTTTTAAAGAAAATAACAAAAATCATCATCTCATATAAAAATTATCAAACTGATGCCATCAGCCACTTTTCTTTGGGTCACATTATAATTTCATTTGACAATTGTGGCACGTCAAAATGTCACAAGCTGCGAATGTTCGTGCCACAGACTTACACAAGACCCAATTGCTTCGAGCAATTCATTACCAAGGCGCCTTTTGACGGTGCAAAAAAAGACCGAAAATAAAAGATCAAATCACTGCATACTCTTTTATATATGCTCACTCGAAGCTTATAATTTCACAGTGCGTAATTTTAGATCCATGCAGAAGTTATTATGTTAACAACATTTTATATCACATAGATGCCATTGAAAACAACGTTTACTTTTCTCATATAATAGTTAAATATTGAAGTGAGCAGTTGAGTTCCCGGCTACAAGGGTATGTAATTTTCGGTTTGGGTAAGATAGATTCCCATTTCAACCTCACATATAATTAAAACACTCATGAGATTAAATCAACCATCAGGGTTCATTGCATTTTTATCTTCCTTGTAAAAAGGTAGACAGAACATCTAAGAAAATATTTACAAATTAAACGTAACATAAATAATAAATTCGGTGAAGGATAAGGATGAGGATTTAATTTTGCAATTCCATTTGTATTAGCAATGCTTTGAGTCACACAAACTCTATCGATTTCCGGTGATACACATTTAATTTAGTATCTCGAAGGTGGAATCTGTCCGCAATGTGGGATTCGAACACGAAGCTCAATACATGAGTCTGTATTTTTAATGTGTTTTTCTCTCTTAGATTTAAAGCCATTTTTTAAATAAATTTTGTGTGTGATGCTGTTTCATAGAATTACTTGGATTTATTATTAATATGTTATTAATGTTATTATATGAAAAAGGGAAGCAGTCATCGCCCTCTACCTGTTCAAATAAATATACATTCCCTTGATCATTATTAACAGCCGATTCAACCGGGCCATTCCATTTGTATGAGTACCTCGATCTTGGACACTAATTGGGGCTGTAAAAATAAACTGTTGAATAAAAGTAATTGTGCGAGTTTATGGTATTCTCCTGTTTCCGGAACATTTGTGCAATTTCCGTCGTGCTGTCTGTCCATCCTTAAACTTGGCACGTAAACTGGTCTGTGCCCGCGTCAGACAAAGTATGATTACGATCAAATTTATCATTTCAAATCACAATAATGCTACCAACTTCATTGTTGGGGTTATCTTGCATATGCCAGAAATCCCAAAACCCTATATTTCTTGTAAATTAAAAGCTAAAACAACATAGGCAACTCATACTCGGAAACTCAATATGCAGTTTTCAATATATTATAAATAGGTTTGTTTCAAATAGGCTCACACTTAATATTAAAAGCTTTGCACAAGTATTTTTTATTAAAAATTACTATGCCACTTTAATAAAAGAGGTCGAGCAGTATAAGACATTAAACATAAACAATCGATTCATCACTTATCGCTGACCTCAGTAAAAGAAGACGCACAATTTTGGGGTCACCCTTTCAAGCCGTGGGATTGCCTCAAGGGCCACCAATTTAATGACGAAGTGTTACGCGAGTAAAAGCTGAAGGGATTCAAGTCCATGTTCGGTGAATATGCTTGCCCGCCACCAACCGAGCTCAGCAGTATAGGACATCAATTTGTATAAAATTAAACAATTTTACAGGAGAAGCTTGATAAATTCGCCAATTTGCATAAGCAAAACACAAAACATTGGAACGCATAATTTTATTATTCCACTTATTCCTTAATACTATTATTTGTTGCCCCGATTTTAAATACTTGTGGGTATGATGTTCCAAATTCACCTTTAATCGACAATTTGAATAAGGCTAATATTTTTGAATGCATTTTAGTTAAAGTAAATACTTTTTGGAAGGCTAATTTGTTGATCTATATTAACACAAGAAGAAGAAGAAGAAAGCACACAAGAATTCAGAATTAAAATTCGATTTTTAAAGTGAATTATATGAAATGAAATAGATCATTTTAGAAGTATTATCGATGTACGAATTAATAGTTATGAATATTCCATATTAATTATTCTGTGCAAAGGAATATTGATTGATATTCTTGAGCCAAATGCAAATGAAATTAATGTGTATCTTAAAGCAGAGTCAACAGTAATCTTCGTTAAACAGGCTGCATTCAGTTGATTTCGGGCTGTTATCCGAGTATTATATTGTCAACTACTTGCGACTTGTTTTTCAATTTGGCAAAGTAACAAATGACATTGAGATTGCACATCACACGAAGGTTAACCGATTGTGAATTACACAACGGAGCGAAGACTTAAGCTACGTACTTATTATGTTATATAAGCAAGAGCACAAATAGCTCCTGGCAGTTGAGTTGAACTGAGTTCAGCTGTGTGGCAGTGTTGGGCCACGCCGCACGCCTCAATGCCCCGCGGCACAGGTAAAGCAAAACAATTTCAGTTAGCTGGCAAAAAGTTCTTCAATTGCACACAAGTTGTAACTGTGGCTGTGGCTCTGTGTGTGTGTGTGTGTGTGTTGAAAGTGTATGTTTGCGCTATTGTTGTGCTTCAACAATGTACTCATAGCACACACACACACACATTTACCCCGAGAGTGGCAACTCACCTTGGTATCTGCAGTGCAATCTCGTCCAGGCTGTCGGATGGACTCATGGGCGTGCGCTCGAAGAGGCGCGAGGGCGCCAGCGTTAGGTGGCCAGTGGAATCGGTGACACATTTGAAGACCTTAGCGCCACGCCGCTGGCGCTGCTGTTGACGCTGCTGCTCGGCGCGCTTCTTGCGCTTGTTCTCCTCGGCTCGCTGGAGATTATGCAAGCGAAAGAAGAACATTGACATTCTGCGGGGTGTATGAGCCAGGGGCGCAGCGGAGTGGGAGGGGCAGGGTGAAAATTTTGTTGTGCAAGCGAAGCGGGCGAATCGGGTTTTTTTTTATATATTTTTATTTTTATTGTAGCCGCAATTGGAAATTTTTGAATTTATTTTATTTTTTTTTTTAATTCAGTTTTTAACGCGCACATTTTTGTTGTTGTTGATAAAAGTTGTTATTATTGCATTCCAAATAATTGAGTAAGTCATTTTATTTATTTTTGTTGATGTTGTTGTTGTTGTTGTTGTTGTTTTTGTTTTGTTTTCATTTGTTTTTGGGGAAGCATCATGATTTATGCAACGAAATCGACGAAATCGTTACGTTCTCTGATTTAAGCTTTGTGCTTGTGTGCAAATATGTATGTGTGTGTATATGTATATATGTGTATATGTATGTGTGTGTGTGTTGCGAGTGTGTGTGTTGCATTTCTGGGAGCTGCTGTCATAGAAAGTCATTATTCTACACATAAATAAATACACATTACTTACAAGTGGCTCATGCAAAAAGCAGAAAGTCAGTCAATCATTAATATAAATCGAACAACTGAGAATGCTTTAGTGGGAAGTGCTCGACTAGCAAATACCCTGTATGGGATGCTTTAAACACATTTGTATATATGTACACTTACTAAATCTCTTAATTGAAATATTTTTCTTACTATTTGTTTTTATATTGCCATCTAATGAAATTTAAAATTAAAATCAAATTTAATTTATATATATATATATCAAATGTAATCGCCTTAACCTGAAGAATATGTAATGTCATAGGAAAATATATATAAAGCCCAGAAGACATGGAAAACCTCAACCAGAGAGAAATGATCGAGTTCGTGCAAAATTCGTTGTTGATAGAAGATCTATTAGGCTTAGAAATATAAAATAATAATACAAATTGATTTATACATAATCTACTTAATAGTTCAGGGTACTAGATTGGCTTAGCTATCGATGATTATTAAAAACATTTATTTAATTGTGAGTTGGTCAATGTATTCTGTTTAATATACCCTTTTTGGAGAGCTCTCCGGTCACTGGGTATTGAATAGCAAATCAAAATGACATGTGACCTCGGGGCACACATAAAGCATAGCAAAATCAACTTCCGGCAGCATCAATCAACTTTAAGCACTACACAGAGGTAGAAATAGATAAAGAGAGATTCAGAGTCCGAGTCTGAGTCAGAGAAAGGGACATGTATAGAGAAGCTAGATATGGGACATAGTTTGACAGCAGCTTGTAAGCTCTAAGTGCAAGCCGGAAATTGGAATATGAGAGAGATTTGGGTTTCTTTAAAACGATTTCTTTGTCGAAAGAGAAAATCAAATTCAAAACCGAATCGGAAACGAGCGGAAATTCTTGACCAAGGCCCCAAAGCAATTCCATTTCTTCACTTAAATCGCACATGAACAGTTCATTTATTTGGCCACAAACCAGCTGGCAGGAAAATCAACGGACAGAAAGTCAAAAAATGGAGAAAAAAAAAAAGGAAAAATAAAATGAAAATAAATTAAGTAGAATAAGAATAATGGAAAATTTCGGGCATTGATTGATCAAGTCGCAATCAGGCGTTAAATACATATTAAATGAGAATGATTCCCTTGTCATCAGCAGCAATGGGCTTCCGTTCAATTAGACAACAGTTACTTTGCCTAATGACAACGCTCTCGCCGCACCTAATGAGCCAGCCTCAAGTGCGGAGGCGGAGTGGGGGAGTGGCGAGGCATGGCGATGTTTGTGTCAAAAAATAAATTAATCGAAATTTCCATAAATTGACTTAAGACATTTTCGTGGCTACGGCGGCGTCTGCACCAATACCAATCGAACTATAATGCGGCTCCAAACCT